ATTCAACAAGTCAACTTATAGATTGCTTGGTTCTCATATTTTTCTTTTGCTTTGCTTGTAATAAGTCATAAGTCATATAATATAATCATTATTCAACTACTCAACTTTTTCTCAATTATCTAATCAAATTAGATACTTACATTTTCTTCAATGTTAGGTTATCCTTTACAAGAAAGTCAAATTTTTGATGAATTATCAATTATACTTCATCTATTTATAACCATTAGATTGAAAGACAGAGTACTAGTTTAATTTAACTTTCATAAACTAGCTTTTTAGATGAAATTATTATCAACAAACTAACCTTGAATAGTATAGTACAGACCCTTACATACACTTCCAACTTTTATTGTGCTTCATATTTTTCTTGTTTTATTTCCTTCTCGTTCTCATACAGCAGAGAGAAAGCTTTCTTCACTTTCTTGTCTTCTCACATTTGGTAATACAATTTTTCTTATTTTTTGCTTTGGCAAATCTATGCATTTACATCTTGCTGTAGTAACATATACTTTCTTTTGCATTTTTTGCATTTTCCTTTTACAGCAATACTTTCGATACTCAAAATTTTTGCTTTGCTTGTCACTTTACTCCAAGTTAGTTACTTCACTTATAACCAGAATGCCTAATGTTTGATAAAATACTGGTTAAGTTTCGTTGATATTCACAAGTTTCATAAGTAAACTATTACTAACTATTTAGTATTGAACTATATACACTGTGTAACTTGTGATTGGAAACTCTGGGGATGAATATTGAAATTCGATTAAAACTTAAGTTAATTTGTTAAATATAACTTGAGATATGGTACTCCAATTGAATTATATCTCTCCAAAATCTAGAGTTTGAAAAGTCTATTAAATTATTTCAACTTTATATTATTGCAAATAAATAAAATGGATGTAATTTCAAAAACAGAAAAAATATTTAAAATTGAATGCGACTTATTACAAAGATAAAGATTATTATTGCTGCCAAATGCATTGTACATTCTTCTCTTTTACTTTTATTCATTAATAAATTAATATTTAACAACTTTTTAAATTATCTTAAAATATTTAGCACCAGTTAAACCTGTATAAACTAATTAGAATTGCCACCAATCACAATATACACTTTTCCTATCTATTTTATTTTATTTTATTTATGCGTTAATACTTGCTTTTCATTACAACGAATTTTTTCCCTTTATTAACCAAAGCAATGCATTAAGATGCTCTTTATAATATATTTACACATGACACTCAACTCATAGACAATCCTTCAAATTTTGTTACCCTTGAACACTTTAGGGTGGACATTAGCTGTGCATACAGGCCTTACTAGTTCTCTAAATATGGGATGCAACTTAAACTGCAATGAATTAAATATAAAACCCAAAGTCCTGAACCAAACATGAATTATCTAGATAATATAGTATTACTTCTTGGCAATAGTGTCACTTTTTAAAGTTCCTAATTTACTCTCAATTATATAGGTAAATTTTTCCTAATCTATTTCAAAAAACCCCTCATAATGCACGCTGTTATCTGTGTTATCCCCTGATATTACTTACAACTTCTCACATAACAATCATGAATTCTTCTCAACTTCTAGAATATAAAGGAATCTGACCCAGTAGAAAGACTTTTATGGCAGAATGATTTTGATGATTATTTTTTTAATTAACTGTACGCATGTTAAAGTATGCTTTGATGACTAGTTCAAATAAATTAAGCATTAACATATTATAAGTATACTTTTACTAAAGTTAAGAAGGCAATGCAAACTATGTAATATGAATATCTACAAAATCAAGTGTTTTGTGTCTTGTGAAAATAAATTTCTTGATCATTTTCAAAATAACTCTCTATAGTTCCTTGGTCATTTCCATAATCCACCTATAATCATTTTACAGAGTAACATGCCCAAATGTATTGCACGTGTCTTCCAAAACTAGTTGAGAAAGACCTTGTTCTCGTTGTTTTAGATTTTACAAAATCTGATTATAAAAGCAGATTATGGAAAATAATCAAAATCAGTAAAAGTTATTTTTTGGGTGATTATAAATTTTAATTTTTGGATCATTATAAAATCTGTAATTAGAATACAAAAAGAATCGAAAGCATCACAAAAATTACTTATTCAAAATCAGAATTTGTAATTAGTTTATAATCTACCGAAAGCATGCCCAAAGTAAATACAATTGATTTCTTAACTGATGCACCCTCAATCATTTGACGCTTATGGTTTCAACTATAAAAGTCATGTCAATCATCAAATTTGCGTTGACTAATTCCCTCGTAGTACAAATTTTCATGCATCTACATGACATAAAATCTAATATTTGATTTCCTGATTACTAGTTCAGATTCAAGGTCAATTGAAAATTTGTAGACAGCAATAATGTAAGGAATCCTAGGTCATCATTTTCTTGACTTCAACTTTATTCTATTGAGTGCTTCTAGGACTAACCAAAGCTGCAGGGAACTATCAGTACAGCCAAGGGACCATATCCCTTTGCAATTTGCTGTTTGTTGTGTCTTCCCTTGCCTTATCTCGAACATTACAAATCCAAATCTCTTATGAAAACTTGAAAATTTTCATCATCAAGACGGATTCAATTCCTTTATGAGTCAAATCTTTTTCATCCTTTTTTTTTCACGAAAATGGATGAATGAACCTGAAAGCCCTCTCTTTTTTAGTTAAAAAAAATAGAAAAATGAAAACCATTATGGAACTAGGCTCAAGTTTTTTTTTTTTTTGCTTTTTTTTTTGTTGGAATTAATCCTTTTCATGTAAAATAATTATACGGTAGAAATTATAGCACTAGCAGCAAAGATAACGACATTGGAACTCCATTGTTTTCCCTTATCTTTGACACTATACTTGTTTCATATTTATTTATAAGAACTATAGAAATAATGGATTGCTAATGATAAAAATTGGAGTGCCAATATCATCACTTATTAGGCTGATGAGCATACTTTAGAATGACTATAGCAAACACAAATAAGTAGATAATCTTGTTTCTATGTTTTAAATGGGGTTTATTTTTGTTTTCATTATTATTTTTTGTTTTGATGGAGAGGGTGGGAACTTTTATTGGAGTTTGAAGAATGAGAAAGAAGAAAAGAAACCAATGGCCATGGACCAAAAGCTTTTGAAAAGGGAAAATAATACACAGCACTTGTCTACCTATTAACAACATATGGCATGTAAATGTGTTTGGAGAAGAGGGACCATTAGAAGGCACTGCATGTAGCTTCACCTTTTCATATTTGTTCCATTCCTTTTAGATAACTAATTTTCTGCTGTTTTTTTGCTAATTTTGCTTTTTCAAAAATTGGTATGTCCACACAGATAAGTCCATTATTAATCATCCCCACATTGTTTTGGTCAAGTCCCGAGAGCCCCAACCCTATCAACTGCCATAATGGTCCAAGAAAAAAGAAACAACCATGTGAAAGCTTTCTTTCTTTCTTTCTTGCTCTTTCTGAAATGGAACCTGAATTAAATTAAAAAGGAGTATTCAAAGAAAAATATGTCCGCCTACATCAGTAGCTGTAGAAAATTCGTGGGATTTCACAATTTTTGTCTGTTAATCTACTACCGATTTCATTAGAAAGGACAGATCTAACAGTTGCTGGTCATTTAGCTTTTGTTTGCAGTTTGTCCTGAACTTAGCTAACTAAATTCAGAAGATAATTAAGCATGGACCAGATCTGCAACTGCCACTTTATTTTACAGACTTAGTCAGCCAGTACCATTCCCTATGGATTCCTCTCCTACTTACCTGTTACACCATCTAGGTCAAGGATAGATGTAGCAATATAATCTCTGTCACACACATGTTATGATTTTCATTGCTTCAAACTTCTCAATCCTTCACTTTAAGATGATTGTCTTGTGTTCATTTGGCAACCAAACAATAAAAGTTGCATGCAACCACTGCCATCTGCATTTTATAGTTCCAACAAATTGGTTGACAATTTGGGTCAGTGACTTTCTCTAGATTATTTATGATAATAAATGGCTAACTTGCACTTAAATCTCTCATTAAGTCCTAAATGATAAATTGGTTGAATTAATTTGTCATTTGAATGTAGCTTAAACCTAAATGATAAGCAGTTAATAAGGCCTATACATGACCTAGCCAAAGTGATCAATTTGCAATCTGATGGTATTACATATTCAATATTATAAACTGACTCTAACTTTATATGTTATTCATCAATTGGAATTGTATTAGGATTACACAGTTTGAAAGATGAAATCAAACATTTAAAAGTGGATATTTAAGTAAAAATTTGACTATGTTATATGCTGGTACAGCCAACTGTCTACCAGTAGTACTTTCCAAACAAGGTTAATAAAAAGTTTGAAGTGTCACATTGGAAAACAAACTCTATGTTACTATCATCCTTTTCTTTAACCCTTTTACCTTTAATAAATTTTGACTGGTCTTCATTAACCCTCAACTTCACACATGTGCTGTCATGCATTGAAGGGGAGTTGAAATTGTACGCAGAAACCTATGCCCATAATCTGATGAAGATTGCTTCTCTGCATCTTTACCATGCACGGAAGTAAGTATTTTAACTGTTAACAGAATCAAGCATACCTTGGATTCAGAAAATTTGTCTTCTTGAAAAGAATATTGAATAGATTATACTCCAATAACCAATGATACACAAAAAGCAATAATACTACCAGGTAAAATTAAAATAATGCCAGGTAAGAAGACATATGATAATTCAATATAAAAGGGTAGCTCTTCACTCACTCTTATTCATCTGCCATCTACATGCCAGTTTGTAGACACGTTGTTTATTTTGAGGTTTCATTAATGCTGCCAAGAACAACTTTGGCAGCATCTGTAACTGAATAACATTTAGTGACTAAGATCTCTTCTACGTCTATGTCAATATACTTCTCCAAACCCCTCATTTTCCTCATCTTGTGGGCTAATTCCATTTCCAACGGAAGTGTTGTGTTCAAGCTTTGAAAAGCTCCAGTCAGTAATGATGCAGGACCAAGTTCTCATTCCTGCCTGCTTTTCATCCAGTGAGAAGCTGATGGATGATTCAGCTGGAGTAACCAGGTCAGGACAGAGTGTTTTCATGTCAGTTTATCGGACAAAAATTGCAGATCAATGCAGGTTAATCACCATTACTTGGTGCAAAAATTTGCTACTCCATGGCCTTTCTGTTTCAGTTGAAGGGCCTGAAGGAGAGAGCCAGTATACATGCAAAGTTGAGCTGAAGCCATGGTACTTCTGGAGAAAACAAGGATCAAAACGCTTTCTTGTTGAAGGTAAGCCAGTTGACATCTTTTGGGATCTCAAGGCTGCAAAGTTTAATGGTGAGACAGAGCCAAGCTCTGAGTATTATGTTGCAGTAGTTTATGATGAAGAAGTTGTGCTACTTATTGGTGACTTGAAGAAGGATGGCTATAGGAAGACAGGCTGCAGACCAGCTCTTATTGATCCCCTTTTAGTATCAAGGAAAGAACATATATTTGGTAAGAAGAAGTTTTTGACAAGAGTTAAGTTTCATGAGAAGGGGAGAATACATGAGATTGCGATTGAGTGCAAAAGCCGAAGCAACAACAGTGGGAACCTCAGTAATGCAAATTCTCCAAATGGGGTTGATCCTGAGATGGAGATAAGGATAGATGGGAATTTGGTTATTCATGTCAAACACCTGCAGTGGAAATTCAGAGGCAATGATTCAATTAAAATGAATAAAGTAAGATTAGAAGTGTATTGGGATGTTCATGATTGGCTATTTAGTCCTGGTTTAAGGCATGCACTGTTCATCTTCAAACCAACATTGGTATCATCATCTCCTTCATTAGTATCAACGTCATCCTCTCCACCATTTTCATCTTCCTTGTCTTCACAAACAGTGAGTTCTGGTTCATTGGAGGGGTTTAGTGCAAGTGGTTCATCTGATTTTTGCCTGTTTCTCTATGCTTGGAGTTACAATTAGGCCAATGCTAATTCATTACATCATTATCATGATTATCATCAAAGCCAAAGAGCCGTGGGAAAATGAGATGAGACTCAAGTCATGCGGGCCAATGTGGAATGTGGTGAGGATGAAGACTGGATTGAGATAGAACAGGCAAGCACATGGCATGGAAGTAGGGTCCAAAGAGGGGTTGGAATTTAGTTTACAGCTGGGATTGAACAAGTGGCATAATTGGAAAAGACAGGTTGCACAACATACATGCCCAATTATTCCTCATCTAGAGGCATCTCCATATTGTTTTCCTACAGCCAATCTTGATCTGACCTTGATAAGTGAGCACTTAGATGTGATATTTGTGATTTCTTAATTCTGTATACAGAATATTTTTCAATATTGTCATACTTCGTTGTATATCTTCATTTGGCCAAACAATTGTGAATGTGATGCATATTTTGGAGCATTTTGTCATGTGTATGACATAACAAACTAGAAAAGCTTGTACACCCACCCAAAGAAAGAAAAAGGATAATGAAAGGAATAAACAAGAAAAGCGGAAAAAAAAAATAAATGTGCTGAGGTACACTAATTCCTAACCTTTCCCCTTCAATTAATTATAGCTCTTCTTCAGCTGAAATTGGATGATATGTTAAAAGTAGAGTGGAGAGGCATGCTCTTGATATGTATATGGTATCAAATTAACTTCACAATTCAAGATGTTCAATTTAGTTAACTTCAACAATACAAGATTACAAGCTTCTAAACAAGAAGTGTTCCATTGCTGTTGTGGCCCAAAAGCTTTTACCTTTCTAGAAAACCTACCATTGCTTTTGTGGCCCAAATAATTTCACCAAGAAAACCTACCAAGTGACATAAATGAACATTGACTACTTGGCCTTACTGATATATCTACCTGAAAAGATCGATAGCGCACTTGATTATTGCAAGATATGTTTGATAATCTGATTTGGTATTTAAATTTAATAGATTAAGATTTTAACATATTTAGATACGTTTGATAACAAAAAATAGAACATCTGAATGAATTAAGTGACGCTGAATTTTCTAGACAAAACTTGTTCCTAAAAATAACTGATAAGTTGTTCACTTGCCACTTAATGTGATTACATTCAAATATATCAAATTGAATACTTAACCGTTCAATAATTTAATGAATTCAAATTTCATGTTTTATATTTCAGTTTTCATACTTCAATTTTACCAAATGCCGCACCCTACTACTGACTGCACACCTGACATAATATTGAGCTAAGGAAGATAAAACTAAGGATACACAACCAATTGAAGGGGTCTTCACCTTAAAAGATCCAATGAACCTTACAAGTTAGCAGCAGCAGTAAAGATAAATAATGAACAAATCAATTTCAATTAGAAACTCTGATCACAGCATTGACCAACTTTGGCCCCAATATTGTCTTTGGTAAAAAAATATGTATGAAATAAATATATATATTTGTAGAACCACAACAAACTTCTAAAAACTATCTCACCAGCTTCACAAAGAATCATAAAACTTTAAACAGCACACCATCACACCGATAATTCAATGACAACATGGATCTCTTTTGTTTTCATTTCGAGCCAAATCCGAACCATTTTGCCAAGAAGAAAGTATTCTTTCCACGATTGGTATCAGGTGCTTTAGCTGGTGTTACTGCAGGAGATTTTGTAGGTGTTGGTATAGGTTTACCTGTTAAAAAGAAATAAATGATGGTCACCAGCCAATTTGATGAGCTAGAAACATATGATCCGAATACATGAACTTGTTGAATCAAAAAAATTGAACTGACAATTTGGAAGTGCAGTACATAAGAGCAACATTTTTTTTTTGGGTTCAGAAACTGCATTATGGAGGATTATTATTACTTGCAGTTGGACCACCGTGGGAATTGAGAAGAATAAATTTTTGGGTTTTTTCAATCTGTCGTAATGCCTTTAATATATCTCTTCTTATTAATAATATTCTCATTTGAAAAGCAGACATTGACAAGAGAATGTAGCGTATGTCATTGCAAAAGTTATTAACCATTCATAATTATAACATGGAAAATTTGTATAATCTTCAGTAATAATCAACACATGACTGATTATATTTTACTAATCAATGCGCCACTGATGATCTTCGCTAACATGGAAAACTTATCTGTATACTAATTTTACGTAGTAGAATATAGATATTTTTCGAAACCATGACTAGTAATTATCTTTTGGACCATCAATATGGGCACTTCATATAGAAACAAAACAAGCTCTCAGAGCAGAAAATTTCTGAAATCAGTACCAGTTCTTTACAGAAGTTTGCGATAGAGTTTACTTGATTAACATAGGTGTAAATTCATATGAACAGCCCTCACTTAAATTTCCTTGCTTTCTAGAAGTTGCAAGGACAATCCAAGCTAAAATTGCGCAGAAATAACACAAAAATTGAAAAGCAACAGAATAAAGTTACCTGGCTTTGGCGACACTGTGTTTGCTTTAGCATTTTGCGCGTCCTTAGGACTTTTATCTGCAACTGGGGCTACCCCTTCTTGATCAGTATTTTTATCAGAAATTTGCTGATCTAGTGTTGATCCCTTGCTATTGTTACCTATATTCATCAGTGAAAAGTCTAAGATTGAAATGATATTACCGTTTCAGTTAAGAGCAATTTATTGTGCATCTCTACAATATATGCACTGGGGAGGAACGATAAAGCTTGCATAAGCATAATGTACAACGCCATTGCATTAAGATGAAAAGAACTGCAATGCAAGCACTCCATCTTCAAGTGGTGGTGAGAAAAAGAACAGTCACAAATACAAAACAAAAGACAGTTGCAACGATATGGTAATATTGCTGCTTATCCTTGTGTATTTGTCTTACTTCGGTGAACTAAGTGAAGTCCTTTCAATAACTTGCAAATGGCTACAAACTCGAAGAAAAAGATCGCACAAGCTATGCCATTTAATGAAGCCAACGAGACATTTGGAATTTTGAAGCAGAATTTTGTGGTATTCTACAAAGAAACACTAGGAAGCATTCTGTAGAGATCCACGATAGTAAAGCTAGTGACTTACACTCAGTAGGAGGCTTGACATAATTTTTCTGCAAAACTCCAGAGAAAGCGTCATCTCTTTGATCTTGCATCACTGAAAGAAAAACCAAGGTTATCAGTTCAATTACTTTGCCATGATGAATTTTTCTCAGTAGTTAAGTGAAGTAGGACATACATTGATCAAATAGAGAATTTCTGTAAGTGGGAGCTGATCCTACTAGGAGCAGTTGAATTGCCTCTGAATCTCTAGTCATAGACAACTTAGCAGATGGATTCAAGTTTTGTGTGTCTAATAGAATACCTGCAAGCTGACAAAGAGATGCTAATGATTTTACTGTCTCAAAAAATGGAAATCAATTGTGCCTGAAAGAATTCAGAGGCGCAGAAATATGTATAGCATAGTGGAAAGACCAAATGCAGCCATGTCAGAAAAGAATCATTTAGCTTTACCAGAAGTTTCTTCAGCATGGGGGTTTGGAGCAAATCATAGGCATCCTCGCAGTAGTTGTCGGTAAGAATGGTACATGCAGATCCAACCTACAGATTTGGAACAGAACAGAAAAGAAAAGAAAAGAAAAACGCCAGGAGAAGAAAATCAGGTCATGAATTATCTTTCAACAGAAATCACCTTTTGGCACAACTCGAACTCATTTACATAATAAAATTAACCTCGCCATTTTTTTGGAGAATGTCTTCGCCAATGATGAGGATGCTCAACTTCTTAGTCATCATTAACGTTTCCAAATCCACCTGACATCATTTGGCAGTGACAAAATCAGAGAACCATTCTGCTAGGGGTTCAACGAATGAAGTTGCATAAACAATTATATCACAGTGTTTCAGTCTGATTCTAGAGACATTCCAGCATTCATATAAATATATTGTTGAATCCTGGCCTATCTAGAGACTTGTTGGTCCAATGACTAAAACAATTGGACCTTGAAAATTCAAACAACTGTAACATGGACCAAAATTGATTGCTAGCCAACCATGATTTTTCAATATAATGTGGAATCATCTATTTCTAATCCTTCAGTTGCTACTTGTTTTTTCTTGATCATGAAATTAGTTTTCTGAACACAATAAATAGGCATTCAGTACTAAAACTATCAAGGAGAAACAAATGGGAATTACCTCATCAGAGAAAAGTAAAGCAGAAGCATCAATACCAACATGGTGAAAAAGCCAAGCAGCTTGCTTCTGCTTCCACATTTTCCCTCTCCTCATATTCATCACAGGCACCAGTAATTCCCCATTAGTTCCTTCACTCCCTCTTCCCTCATTATCAGCCTTCATCCTATTCTCCATCAACCATGTATAACATATTGCTGCCACCATTGAACTAGTACCTACATCGAACAAAGTGTCCTTAGGGTGTATGGGAGAATAATTTTTGTAGGGCAAGAATTCAAATTCAAATTCAAAAAGAGTTCTTGAAACGAGAAGATATGAGATACATGTCATCTAGGACACGTAACACCTAACTTCCACTAATATACATCAAACAAAAAGTCCATAATTAGAGCTCGATAGCGTATAATATTTAAAATTTAGGTTCCACATATCATACATGACAAGTATCCAAAACTTTTTCTTTTTCAAAAACAAGTAGACCAAAGAAATTACTTCGGAAATGAAAGTGCAATGAAATTATACTCAACTGTTTGAAGGTCCAGAAAGCACAATCTTGGCCTTCCCATTGATCTCTCCACTCATAATTTTCTTCATTGTCGGCCTCTGCTCTTTCAAAAATCTATTGAGTGCTTGATTCTTCGATTCTTGGGCTTGCAATTGCTCAATCAAATTATCTCTAGTCAAAGGTCTGTCATTGGGGAATACCGATACTGATCTTCTTTGTGGTGACACGGCCGTGTTGGACGCCATCAGAGTCTCCGGTACTGAGCAAGTAGACGCCGAAATCGATCTCCGTTGAGCAGATTCCACGAGATGCTTTGGTGGAGAGAGCAATTGGGTGTCCAAAATGGTTGCTAAATTTGTTGTAGCTGAAGGATTGATGTTGGAGGGACTTTTAAAAGTTCGTTTGGATAACGGATAGTTAGATGGAGGCGGGATCAAGTGTGGCTGAGATCCGTCAATGTCTTTCTGGAACCGGGATTTTCTGGGTGTTAATTGGCGGGGTGGAAGGGTTGGGGACCCTATATTGTTGATTGGTTTTGGAGGGCTGGGGTCTGATGGGATTGTGGGGTTATGATAGACGGTGGAGCCATTTTGGGGTTTGAGAATGTTGGAGAACCATTTTTGGATTGCTGATGCAGGGGATTCCTCTGCTTCTGATGGAGAGTATAAATCGGCTTGTGATTTATTGCGATTGTGTTTTGCTGATTTTGAGAGAATTTCTCCACTGACACCCTCCAATGTTCTATGTCTGCATGCATTTCAAAAGGGAAAAATCTGAGTCTAATTTTTGGAACTTATGTTCTTAATGCGCTGCTTAAGCTTATTTCTTTCAATCACAACAAATTAGATCATTTGTGTAGGTAGGTTCATTGTTTCACTATTTGTGTGGAATGTTGTTCGAATACTTATAACTAGTGTTAAGGGCACACATGATGTGTGTGTAATTTAAAAATAATTAAAATAAATTACTATTATATGAATTTTATATTTTTCACATAAATACAATTTATATAAATTAATTAAAAGAACTTTGATTTATAAGGATATAGTAGTTTGATAGTTATAGTACTTAAGGTAGTTATAAACAGTTATGTTAGTAAAATATGATTAGCTAATTGAGGAGTTTCTATAAGGATAAAATTGAAAGTTTAAAAAATGACAAAAAATATTTACACCGACTGCTATCTGTCTGACTTTATATATTGCATAGATATTGTTTAGAAGTAATCATTTGTATTCGCCCTAACACTCTTGTATTAAGAAAAACAAAATCATATGTACATTGTTTTCGAATTTTGGGGTAATTAATTCTTTTCAAATGTCATTTTTTAGGGTTGTAAAGCGACCAAGATGAGTCGAAAGAAATTTAGAAGATTTTGGAGATGAAACCAACATTGGATCAAATAGGTCCAACTAAATTAGTCTTTGTTTCGGATTGAACAAACTAGAACGATATTAATCTTGTCGTGATTTTTAATTTTGTTCAATTACCCGGTTATCAACTCTCAAAAACAACCTTTTCGAGATGTAAAGGGACCATATGTGGCAAAGTATATAAATATACAAGACGGACCTTTAAAATCCTAGCACTAAATTTCTTTGAATAAGCCCAAGAGGGAAAAAGCTCAGAAAGGCATCAACATGCATGAAAACTGAAAACAACAGCAATCCTAATTCAACCATTTCTTGAATTTGACACGAAAAATGATCAAGGGACAAAATATTATTGTTACCTTCTAGCAGATCTCGAAAGAGGGTCTCTTTTATCAAGAAGAGTTGTTGATTGAGCAGTGGCAAACCGAGGGGAGCCAACAAGCCTGGAAGGTGACTCACACCTAGCAGGAGATTGAGCAACCATCCTCTTAGCTTCCTCAAGCCATTCCTGAGTTGATCTACTGCTAACACTTCTTCTGCTGGAGTCAAAACTATCTGAATCATCATCCAAACCTTCACCACCCCTCAAATTGTACACTTTTTTCTCTGTGTTAGCCGTTCCAAAGAACATATCATTCATAAAATCGGTCAGGTCGGGGGCATTTTCGTTGCGATTACGCCTATTCTCTAATACTTGCTTTTGCAGACCTAACGACCCCCCTCTGACGTTGTTCGACAAGTTTCTGTTGAACCTTCTCTCCATTTCTTCCCACTTTTTTTGTGCGTCGGGCCAAAATTCGGGGCCTAGCTAGCACATTCCACACATTACAGTGACGAATAAAGGGATAGGAGACTATTGGCAAGAGGAAGGTGATGGGCGAATTCCTGGCTGAAAGAGCAAGGATAATGATTCATATAGTTTTGGAGACATTGATTAAGTTAATTAAACTCATAGAAGCATTGTAAAATTTGGCCGGCATTAAATTTGTGTCTTTTCTGTTTGTAGTTATACGACATTGTCACAAGAATACCAATTCCAATGTCCTTCGAGTCCAAAACTTGGCTGCATTTTGTTGCTAATTAAAGAAATCAAAAGACGACGACCCAGGTCGTCAAAGACATCAATGTTATTGACATTGACGTTTGAAATATTTTGGATAAAGAGCTCAAGGAGAATTTTGAATGGTAACAAATGTATCATATGGCACTAGGGGTGGCAATTCGGGGCCAAATCAGGTTGACCTGACCCGTCAGAAAATCTATTGACCCGAATCCGACCCGTCAACCCGTGATGGGTCAGGTATATTGACCCGAATCCGAAAATTTCAGGTTGACGGGTTGGCGGGTCGACCTGAAATGATCCGAAATTTAATTTTAATTTATCACTGTAATTTCTAATAAAATTAATTTCTCACAAAACTAATTACATAATCAAGTAATAAAAATTTAAATAAATAATTTCAAACCAAATCTAAAATAAATTAAACACCGTAAAAGTGTTTTATCCCAAACAAAATATAAAATAAATTAAAACAATATAAAAGTAAAAAAAAATATAATAATTTCAACTTCACACAAATTAAATAATTTCATTTAGGATTAAGTAATTAATGCCTTTGAAAAAAAGAATAACTTAGTTTAGTTAGATAAAATTATTTTTATGTTTATTAAATTATTTTTAATTCGTAAACGGGTCATATCGGGTCATATCAGGTCACCACGGGTTGACTCGAAATCGACTTGTTTTCTTTTCGGGTTCTTTGGGTTCAACCCGATTCTCACCCGAATTCCCGAAACCTCAACCCAAACCTATTAATTTCGTGTTAGGTTCGTGTCGTGTTTTCAGGTCGTGTCGAAAATTGCCACCCCTATATGGCACAATTAAAAACATAATTGTATATATTTTTCCCTAATTTCTGTGTACAATTATCATCATAAACTGTCCCTAGTCGTTGCCAAAATCATCATTTGCAGCATCCACAGATGAATACAGTCTAGGGAACTTGAATTCGTATGGAAATATGAAGCATTAGGTCGATCATTTAATTTAATAGGGTTGAAGAATTCTATACTTCTAGTCAATTGACATTATGCTTTGAAGGAAATACCAGCGGTTGCAACTTGCATGCAGGAAAATCATATCCAAGCTAGCAAAGATTTTATGCAAATTTTAAAGTATGTGGCTGCTTAACTTCTTTTTTTTTTTTTTTTTGATGTACTAGAAAACAAATTGGAGGAATTTTTAAAACGATTTATTGGTCTTGAGTTTCTCCCGAATAATTTCGTCCTGAATATGTTGGAATTATGCAACTGTAGTGTTTCCTCGATTCAGAAAAGCATGATCACTTGGTGCTGCTGCTAATTTGAGGTAGAAAAATGTAAAAAGACTTGTCTCATTAATGATTGATAAAAGGTTAATTCATTTGGTGCCTAAATTTGCAATAGGCCTTGAAAAGAGAGTTCGTGACCAAAAAAAACTTTCTCCGTGGACCGATACCATATTCATATATATAGGAGGATTTATTCTTGAATTCCTACTTCTCTTCTAGGTACCTGAAGGACTATTTACTCATCTATTATTCCATTTGCCTCCTCAAAGAAATAGAGAACTGTTTTTAGAAGTGGGGTAGGCAGCTTAGAGAGCTCCTACCAAACCCCCTAATATCACTGGAGAAAATAATGAGACATGCCAGCAAGGAAAGGGCTATGGAAAATTCTATTTGCTAGGGTTGATCCTTCGAGTCAGATAACCTGCCAACGACAGAGTTCCTAGTTTTGGTTCAGCCTTTGTTTTTTTCCCCTCTTAGCAGAAAAGTAATATAATCATATAATCATGTGTACATCCAAAAGAGGGATTTGTCCTCTTATTTTTTGGATCATTTTAGGATATCCTTTTGTCCTCGACAATTTCATAAACAATGTTCTCTAATGTCTGTTTTTTTTTTTTTTTTGGTTAGTTGAGATTCATTCATGAATACTCACTTTTTGAAGATATATAAACCCTTCGATCTAAAGAAGAAGTAGTTCCTCTTATTTGGACTATTCTCCTTAGCATCCCATTCTTCTTTCTTTTTCCTTTCATACATTCTCACTTAAAAACTTGAAGAACTTTCATCTTGAACAATCAAAAACCCTAATGTTTTTAACAGATCACCCCACCACTAACAATATGTTAAGTAAATTAGTCCAGCACTTTCCATAGATATTTGCCTACATTTTCCCGTTTGGATAGAGAGCTACTAAAGATTTTTTAAAAAGAATAGGGTCGACTGTATAGAAGGTGTACTAGTCCTCTTAAAAAAGTTTCCATCCAATGATATAGATGAGTTGGGAGTGATCAATTTGTTTCAAGTTAAATTGGACCATAATTGCTGAAACTCTCAACAATTTCTAGTGCAGGAAATACTAGACTATTTACGAGCATGTGTATACATTTATGTGATTCACCTATTGTCTCAAGATTAAAAAACAACAAGAAGGTCCATTTGAAAAATCTTTATTGCAAAATTATTTGTGTCTAACTTTTATTTGGTTCAATATAGATGCCATATGCTACACTACATTTATTATGGAGCACTACATATATCTTGTTTGAAGAATCAGATGCAACTTATTTTTAAAAGGGTAATACTTGGAAAGTTAATGGAAGAACAAAACTAAGGCATTGTTTGATAATTTTATTAAGCATTTAAACTTTTAACAGATTAAGTGTTTTTTTCTAT